TCGAACAATCTGATCACACATTTACTTTTCAAGCCGGTATATATGAAAAAATTAAGGGCAATTAAATTGAACAAAGTGACAAAAAAGGATTTAACAAAACGTTTGGTAATCCAATCAAATAGGGATTACCAAGGCAGGTTAAGAGTAATATTAAACTGTTTTTGAATACACAGTTGGGGGTGGGGGGCTTAAATTTATGAATAGCTATAGCCTCAGCATATTTCACTAAGCGCCCTTGACCATTTCTTATAGATGACCTTAAAGGCTGAGTTAACATCAGTCATCTCAATTACCATATAACGGGGAAATAAACAGTAGGATTTTGAGACAAAGTTTGCATTCGGTCATCCGTAGAACCTATTATGCAGCCCGACTTGTAATTATCGAAAAACCTACAAAATATGCTCCACTGCAAACCTCAAAAGTGCACAAGTGATTATGTTACATTTCACACTGTTTATCAATTTCCGTGTGTACGGACACACATACATAGGGAGGAGTAATCGCGCTTTGCATGTCAGAGTGGGAGAGCATATCCCGAAATGGTTAAAAAAACTAATAGACGCAGGTGTCAGACTACCAACTTCGTCTATAGCTAAACACCTAATCGAGAGGACACATAAGGTTGATGTTAACTCAGTCTTTAAGGTCATCTATAAGAAATGGTCAAGGGCGCTTAGTGAAATATGCTGAGGCTATAGCTATTCATAAATTTAAGCCCCCACCCCCAACTGTGTATTCAAAAACAGTTTAATATTACTCTTAACCTGCCTTGGTAATCCTTATTTGATTGGATTACCAAACGTTTTGTTAAATCCTTTTTTGTCACTTTGTTCAATTTAATTGCCCTTAATTTTTTCAAATATACCGGCTTGAAAAGTAAATGTGTGATCAGATTGTTCGAAATGTGTGGCGCAAATACATCACATTTTTCAGATAATCTCCGTCTTCTAATAACACTATCCAAATTTATAAAAGGGACTAACTGTTTTAAATAAAGTAGATAATAATAATAATTATTATTATTATTAAATCCCTTGAATAGTCTTGACTAGGTAACGATGAAAAGTTATCATAGAGAGCACAGTAGCTGAAACTAAGTCAAGTATTAAATACCTTCGATTATGTCCTTCCTTCGGTGTTTCCTGATCTTCTTAAATCATGTTAAGTTCTAGAAAGACATTTCGTCTAACCTTCTACATAAGGACCTTATATCACTTATAACCTTATAACCTTATATCACTCAATCCCTTTTATATTTCGTCAGCTATTACATTCTTCATCCTTAATCTCTCTTGCGCTACATAAAAAAGAGTTTGGTACATCACGAAGGGCGTTAGAATCTGCCCACAGGGCAAGTGAGGCATCACACACTTTAAGTCATACAAAAAATTGGCAAAAGCCGTCTCTTCAGACTCTCAGAACCCTCTTTACTGAATGACAACTCCTCCCTTGCATCTCCTTCAGTAGAACTGGAAACAGTTATAGCAGACTTAATGGTCGGACGAATAAGTACAAAAAGTCAATGATACCTTATCTGTGTGTGCTCGTCAGTTCATCTGCTCATATGGAGTCAGGTATATCGGTGGTTCTCTTGGGGTTTTGTCCAAGAGAGTGCAAGAACACTATCCTGCATGGTTACAAAGAAGTGAAATTGGGGCTATAGGAAGCGCAATCACTGAAAATCTGGTCCATACTGGTCACCCTATCTCTACAGCCTTCGCCTTTAAAGGTATCTACAAGGCAAAACATAATTTACCAAAATCATTACGTATCTGGCTCATCTGTACAGCTGAAGCCTTGGTCATCGAAATAGAAAAGTCAGATCTTTGTATAGAGAAAAACTGTATTCGACCCCTACAACTTTCATGGTCTTAATCCCTATATGCTCAAGTATGATAATCCCTAATCATATTTTGACTCTACCAATTTTTTCCTTTTCTCTATTCAATCCGTATACTCTTCCTTTATTACGTCAATTGTTACTATTACTATTCTCACTTTGAATTGCCCCCGGTATTACTTCACTCGTTCTACTTGGCATTTTAAATCAATTTTGTTTTGCAACGTTAAATTCTACTTTAGCAAATTTCACACAATGTTACGTAACGTCTTTAGTTTTATTCTATTTGCCTACTAATCCTATAACTTCACACCCCTTTCCAACATCTATACATCTTATGAATTATTCGGTATAAGACATTAATTGTTTTGCCACTTGACATTTAACTATGATTACAATCACAAATATTTCAACTGCATTTCTCTTCACTCAATCATTTGCTCTCATTTCCTATATGTCCCAGCGGGAATTTACCATGGATACCTTATTTGTGCCACGTATTCTATGCGATGAGGAAAAGTGTGTCAGGCATAAAACTATTGACATACTGAGAAACAGTGTGTAAACTTCTGTTTTTATTCTTTCTGTCATTAACATACTGTTATCACCATTTTTATAACTTTAAAAGTTTAATTTTTTTAATTTTTATTCGTTGGTATTACGAATAATTCTAATATTTCACCTCACTATGTAATGTACAGATAAATATTAGATGCAACATACTGCACTATATGCTTAGAATTCTACACTGTTTCAGATGTACTGTTTGGAATAAATTCATTACAATAATAATTAGTAGTAGAGGTAGCATGATGATTAGTGATTGAAGGAGGGGGAGGGGAGGCAGTTTTCCCTTCCTTTCTAGCTGATTTCATACTAATTAAGTGTTGGTTGGCAGGGATTCGATTCATCACAGGGTTGATCACGAGCTGAAATCAATCAGACAACCATTGGAAAACCAACAGGGAGTACTAGACAGCTGTCTTGTCCTAGTCTGCGACTCTTCTAGTGAGAAGTCGTAACCAGCGAGGTCCACCAACAAGTCAGGCAAGAGGACAGTTGCCCGCCTACAACACTGGCTTACGGTATATGTATATATATTCTAATGGGAACGTTGTGCGTAACGAGTGGGATCCACTCCGTCGGGAATGAGGACAAATACTCACCAAATATGAGATTGGTTGGTGCCAGCCACACTATATTGTGAACTGGCAGAAGTTGCAATTCATTGGTCCCAGTGGCTAAATGGTCTACGAGCTCACCTAGTAATCGGAAGGTCCCAGGTCCTATCCCCTTCGGTGGCTGTGTACTGACGAAGATTTCGAAACTAGGATTAAACAGCTACCCAGTACTCGCCGTTATTTTCTAATGGTTCTCTAACCGACGTTAGCTCATGATGAAATCGTGTAACCAATCAATTCTTTGCATACCGTTACTTGAATAAATATCACAAACTGAAAGAAGTTAGAATTCATGAACTATTGAAGTGGATCTCAGCGGTTAAACAGTCTACCAGTCTGCCTCGTAAACGGAAGGTCCTGGGTTCGAGCCCCGTTAGGGAGTCCCAAACTAGTTGTACAAAATAGCTGTCCAGTACTCCCATGTTTCCCACTGATTCTCTAACTGATTTCATATTTGATTTATTTGATCTCCAATCGTGACTAGTCTCATCAGTGAGACAATCGAATACGGATAACAATAACACTGGCTTCTCCTCAAACTAACGCAGAGGGCCATATTTTAACCAACTGCAAGATGACTGATAAAGAACTTACACAAAATCATATATATGTGCATACTAACACGTCAGGTTATTCGATTCGTTACTTAATCCAAGAATGAATCGCAGAAATTTATACCACCTAATTTATTCCAAAACTATGATGGTTAAAAGACAAAAACGGAACCAAAAACGAATCACGCAGACATGCACACTTTACATTGGGATGAAACATTCTAGTTCCATTGGGTAATCCTATAGTTGATTAACTGCTGTGTTTGTTACCGTAACAATCACACAGGCTGTCGTTAGGTAAATAAATTTTCTACATCACTTAGAAGCCAATTACGCGGATATGAGCTGTGCTTACTGTGTGAATCCTGATGACATCTACTACCTACTTGATCAGGTCGATGTAGGTGGGACCGGATTCGAAACTAAGACTGTCTGGCTCGAAATCAAGTATTCAAAGTAATTAGACACATCTCCGGATCATCTATTCTAACATAACATTGGATATGTAGCTTGAATAGTTTAGTCATCGTTTCTGTGATGGAGGTCTGAAAGTCAAATTGTGCGTCTTCTTGACAAATGTCAACAAGTAAAAATATCATGTAAGTAAGAGTTTCAATTGTGAACGACTCTTATGATGATCTGGTGCATGAGCAACTCCTGACACACTGTACAATCCCCATAATTAATTTATAGTGTTTATTTTATAGTGTTACTTTGTCGGAGGTGGCTAGAAATGGACTCCAGGATGCCCCTTTCATCGCTTTACAGACTTGTAAGCTGGATCTGTCTGCTTCTCGATGTGTGACGGTGTTAAAATAGTAATCACCTTATGATTCATCATCTGTGTCATAGTGTGATCGGATGAGTGTAAAATTTCATCATCTTCTTCCTTATCTTGGTCTCGGTCAAATCTTCAACCAATCAGAATATTTATTTTTCGCCGACCGAGCCGAATCATCTATCGATAACAACAATCTATTCCCACTACCCTAGGCAGATTTTAATGTGGTTAAAAATATATAAATACGACTTTTTTCCTAATAAAATTGTATCCTATCAGTCACAGGCCAGCCTTCGCCTTTTGATATGTACGTGGTTCAGTGAAGCGGAAGGTACTAGGGACGAAAGGCATACCCAGCATCTCAGTTGAGTTGTTCATTATGTCATTGTTACTATACCCACACAGAAGTCCACTCGATCATATCAGCTGTCAAAGAGATCATATTAATTACCGAGAGATATATAACAAGTTGGCGACGGATTCATTTCAACTAGCAACTTAGATCATAACAGTTATCCACAAGGCTATTTATTTTACATGGATATAACCGCTATGATGTAACCTAAATAGAAATTACCTTTCATAATATAACACAATATAAAACAAAGAGTGATTAAGTAGACGAAAAAATTATAACTAACTTGATTTTGTTAATTCACCACTTGTATCGTTAGATATTTGATTTAGCTCTGTTGATGAATTATCCCCAACCATGCATAAAACCTGAAGTGAAGTTTTCAAAAAGAATACGTTATACAGTCTTATGTAAGAAATAGATTTTTAGCTTAACAGTAAGTGATTGCAAGTCAATACTATCGATCAAAAGCAACATTCATTCAGATCTAAGTGACTTAAACGTACCTGTATGGGAGTTTTATTCGACAACTACTTGTATTTCCCTGCAACTAACAATGAGTTACACTTATTCTGTGTAAGAGATAATGATACTACCTGCCTATCCAAATCTTGATGAGTTGAGTGGGCTTGGAACGTGTAGATCAGTAGATGGAGATCAAGTATCTCAGTCGGTCAGCTCCACACATAACTGTTTGTTTGGAGGTCTACACTGACTGGTCACTAAAGGTATAGCCAGCGAGATGTGTCTCGGCAGCAATTAGAGTTGTTCACTGAATTCTTTCAGTAAAGTGCTAACATACATACCGTGCTCATTCTCGATTACTACTTTATATTTCATCTCCAATGAAGGAAAAGTATATTAAAATTGTAACAGATCTGTTAACTTGAATTATTCAGGTTGTATACACCTGATAAGACATCGAAGATATAAACAATGCATTTGTTTTATCCTATTCCATATTTCGCCGTTATTGCTTTCTTCAAATTCATTAAATTGAGAAATTGCACAAGAAATCATTCACTATAATATTATTCGCATTCTACTGAGTCAGTGAACAACAACGACAGGGAGTTCATTTTATTTAGAAAGTATCTCCGTACGAGTTTCATCTAAATTCAGGTATTACACAGAGCAGGAAGTCTTAAAATTTAATTTCTTTTAAAAAAGATACGAACTTTATTCCACTTCCATGCTAAAATAATACTACATTCTATTTTAACAAGCATAAATAATGACAATACACATTAAGGATAAACAAAAACATACTTGATGCTCTGAAATCAGGTTCATTGGGTATGCAGACTGACAGAATTCACATGGGATCAGTGAATTTGATTCCTGATCATTCCTGAAATGAATCACACAATACCGTTTATAATTAAATCTCTAGTACGAAGTAAGGCTTAATAGCATTGTATTTGTATAGAGCTATACGAACTGCAAATACATAAAAAAGATGGATTAACTGTTCACTCAAATTATGAGTCAAGGAAGTGCTGTGTACAGATATACATCGGTTTAAGGCTCCCGGTTGTGGAAAGACAAACACGATATAAAAGATAACAAGGAGTTATTTCATCGAGAGTGCGCAACCAACTATTTTCAACACACCATGAATCTAGGATAATCAGTCTATATTTGTTTACATACATTTAGTCACCAGCTAACGACCTTACAAATTAATCCAGTGTTAGCCTGAACAACGCAAACTCTCTTTTAAACCAATACTATTTGTCTAGTAACGTAGCGGTTCTACATGAAATAAGCGACTTAAATAATAAGGATTCACTACTTCATCGATCGATAGTGTTTTCTTAATATTTGCTTCTTTTAACACACACGTCACGCAACCGTAAACTAAGATGGTGTAGACCAATGAAAAGTACTCACTGTATTTGATACACATGAGAATATCACTCAGGCACCAGAGAGGATGCAAGCTGATAAACATCAAAAGTGCCTTTTGCATCTGCGGTGATAATCCATCACTAACTACGGCTGACAAGCATTTTCGTGGCTAGTATACCTCGACTGCCTACATCATGGAAGCCAATCAATTTTTAAGTTGTTTGGAAGACGACATAGCAGGTTATGCACAATATAGTTAAGCACTACTAGTTTGTACACAACAAAACAACTGCACATTTGTCGCGGTAATTGTGGTTTGTTGAGCTCTTTTGAAGTCATAATAGTATATATGCACAGGTTTAATCCCAACTGTACGCAGAAAACTGAAAACTACAGTCAAAAATGAAGGCATATCGAAAATCAAATGATTTGATGAATATGTACCCCTTCTTAACCCTAACTAAATCTTTCTACAAATATATCCTGTTGGGGACTCTTTCGTTTACTCCTACCCATTATTTAATAACTCTAACAATTACGACTTTTCACCTTCTAGAAAATTCCTATAATAGTAAGATGCTCGACTTAATCCAATATGAAAAATATGAAGACAAATAAGTAAATAAGACTTAACTAAGTAAATCAGAGTTACAAACCAGTCGCTCTAAATAAATTATATCCGTATTAAATTTAAAAGAAAAAACACAGGCTCACTTGATGCTATTCATCAGCGTTACAGATCTGTCTTTGAACTGAGATGAAACGATAGATCGGCAAAACGTACTATCAATTAGTGATAAGTTTCGCATATAATCTTCACACTGTAGATCAAACGCCATCAAGAAGTCACTTTTGTAATCCTAAACACCTGCGGTCAATTTAAATTAATACGTACAGTCTGAGGAAAGTTTTGTCGATCTAGAAATTTCATTATGCCAGTAATTGTCAAAACTACCTGCATAATTCCTACAGTGATGAGTCTTAAGACTTTTAATCATCACAAAACTGCCACATCCTGAACAAAATTCTGTTCTGCTGCCACATCGCGATTCGTGTTCGTCTAACTCGTCCATGCTGACTTCCAGATTGCAGTATATGCATCCAACCAGTCGTCTGGGGCATACAACCTACTACTGAAGATGAATACTCTTGAAACATACTTCGTGTTCAGCAACATCACATTTTCTCAGAAGAGACCCGCACTTTGAGCACTGGTTTTGCTCATGTTTTTCGCAATGGTGCTTGGATAACAAAGTCCTCAACACATTTTCTCCACAGTCAGGACACGTTGTCAAATTTCGAGAACAGAATGCCTCATGTAGTATGAAGTTACTTTCCAGTACGCTTTCTTTGCTATTCAGAGAAAATTAGAATTCGAGGAGTACCAGTTGACGCAAATCCTGCACCCTGAGCGATCTACCATAACTCATAACATTTTCGAAATACGCGGTGACCCTGAATTCAATAGCCAGGGGGTTTCAATAATAATAATGGCCTTACTCCAAATAGTACTTCTGATGAAATGTGTAATTTTTAGCAAGCAATAAATGTATTGGTTTATTGTCTTTCAGAAGAATAAATATGTCCTTCGGTTGTCTAAGTTCGAAGTTTGATGATCCTGTAATCTGTGGAAAGAAGGTAAATCCAGATTCAAGATCACGATGGGTAGCTACGTTGATTGGTTACATTTTTTTGTGAGTTTGTTTGCCATTGAAATTTCAAGGCTTTCTCGATGTTTTGCATATCCCAACTTATCGAGGTCGATTTATGTCACTGGATGCTACTATGAAGTTTATTTTTAGTCTGAAATTCACAGTTATTAAGTTGATAGTTAAGGATTACTGTAAACCTGAAATCATTGAGCTAATTCATGTATACTAGGCTGAGATACCGAACTGTTCATAACTCAAAATTAAATTTAAATGCACTCTAATAACTTTCCAAACGTACAATACTGCTGAAGTAAATCTCACAAATTCTAGCCTAACTCTCACTTTCTAACCCGACTAAATCCTGAAACTATTCTGAAATGGTCTGATAATGCGCACAAGCTGGGGCTGTGTGTTGGTTTTCAGCCCGACTGTCAATAATTCAGCAACCTGTTCCTCTTCTAGGCATTTTTTCTGCAGTAGCTCAGAATGTACTGTTTGTCTTTAGCAGCCTTATTTCAGCCCTCCTAGCCGAGATTCAGCGTCCAGTGCCCCTTCTCAAGAACGACAGAATTATTTCAGTACATACTGGGTTCATTTCAGGTAGGTAAAGTATTCTTTTATCGCAAAAAGGCGCTAGTTACACGTAGGCTATAATTAGTTTATAATTGTTGTAAGGCTGAGCCTTTAAGCGTCGCTACGGTATGAGTGATGGATCCTTTTAGTCAACGTTATTCAAGATATGCTATGAAACAGTAATCTTGGGCTGATAAGATGTAGAAAACAAGGCTGACTTCAGAAGTACCTTCACCACAAAACTATCAACCAAAGTTTGTTTTAAACTTTCACTCTTTGGCATGCAAAGGGAAATGAAGTGTACCAGCAATTTAGGCGTGTGTGTTTATATTATGCAAGTCTAAAACAACTTTCTTGGCAGCAAAGGGCGTGAGAAGCAGCAATATGGGCTGCAGGGGGGGAACTTGAAAAAATCGTAGATTATCTTGAAACTTACATCGTAATTGTAACATTCACAAAACATCTACTGGCCTTCACATAATTTACGTAAGGTTGTGTGGTCAATCCACCTTCATATTTTCCGTAACGTCAGCTACAGCGGATCGCCTTTACTCAAATAACTTTTCATCCGCCTATGAGATTTCTCCACTTTATTGTTAGCATTGTCCTTCATGCTGATGGTGAACCGGTTGCACGATGTGGCCCAATATTTCCGTATTCTTACCCACTACCTTCTGATGTGGGCGCCAGCTTCAGCATCTGTCACACCTATGAGGTCCGGGCAACCCTGAAAAATTTTTGCAATACATTCTGAATTGTTAACTTACCTGCCATAACTGTACGTTCAATACTGCCACTTTTTAACACGTTGATTCGGGAATTGTTTTGGTTATGTTCATTCACCAGAATGAAAATTACCTTCCTTCTGAACGCCTGGCATGAATGAAAAAAGACATAAAATAATGCTGAGTCCAGGGAGCCTCCCCTTCAGAGCATTAGTCTGTGCAATTGGGCAGTCCAATATCCAATATCGCTTTTATGAGCTAGTTCGTCCCGCCACTCAATTGTCATAGCTTTGGTTGACCCCAAAAGGAGTGGTGATGAAATTGATTATATGTTGTTTGTAGTATGCTGTGTGTCAAGACTTTGTTGCGACTGTGAATGGGGTTGATCCTCTCAACACCTAGTCCTCCAGTATCGTCACCAAAAGAAAAGAGACAACAATAATAATAACAGGTTTAATTAGTTTGGGTAATTCAGACTAAAAGGCAGAAAAAGAAACAAAGAAAACGTTACAGCAGACAGCTAATTAAATTTGAAGTTGATATATATACGTATAAAAATATATATGTATGTTATACCAATAATAATTATTATTTTAAGTGTAAGTGTAGTAGTTGGGGTGGTCAGTAGAGTAGTACAGAGGAGAGTGTAAAGAAATGAAACGACGGCTTTGGATGCCTACTCATGAATATATATTTATTTACTCCTGTTTATGCAGGAACATACCAATTGTACAGGCATGGATAAGTTATTATATAAATTACACATGTTTCGATGTATGTTGAATTTACAGTTTGTTTGTTCTTTCTGACATTAGAGTCAGTCGGAACAGTCTGCAAAATAGTCTGTCTGTGTAACACATAAAGAGATATAGAAATATTGTCTTCGCATTAACAAAAAACCCAGACTTCAGATGAATGTAATACAAATATCTGGGAAAAATAAAGCTTGAAGTCAATTCTCCTATAAAACTTTGTTGTGAACAGCATCCGTGAGATAAAGTTTATTGATGTATTATTTTGAGTCAATAATGTATTTATTCCATTTTTTCACCAGTCTAATCGTAGTTTTATAATAGGAAAGAAATTTGATCTTTGATACGAAAATTAGATAAGGTAATGTTAGATTGTTTTACTGCATCAAATGGGGCCGAGGTCAATTCTAGAACTATCCATTTGCGCCATTTGCGTCAGCATGGCAGACTGTACATGTAAGTTGAGTAATTCATTGAAAACTGCTTGAAAACCAGTTGTTTCTTTATATCAGATCAAGAATACTCCTTGTACAGAATGTTAGCCAGCGTTTTCAAGTAGTTTCATCGGATCGTTCATGGAATTTGAGTTTGAATTTACTTAAATGGTCATTTCAGTTTAGATGTTGGGTTGTTCGACCTCGACCAGGAGGTATATAGAAGAGTAATCTCAGCAGCAGAATAGCAGAAAGATAAAGTATGTAAAAATGAAGAAAACATTAATATTTTATGTATATATAAATGTTTATAAATGTATATCATTGTATAGTAAACACTACCTATAATCTAGTTGTTCTTTCATGTATTTTTGCGAAGTCTTAAGGTTTATTTAGTGTCATAATATTTAGTAATGAGTCTAGGCGTTATAGTGTTCTAATAGCTCATGCGTTTTAGAAATAAGTGGTGCGGTGTGATTGGCATAGTCATTTGGATGAAGCAGTTTATATAGCAAGCGTTTGAAGGCTATAATAGAGTGACAGGTCCTTATTTCTAGGGGTAAACTGTTCCAGATCTTAGAGTACATGACTGTGAAGAAGTTTGCACGGAGTGTTGTCTTACAGTTTTTCCTAGATACTGTGCACGTTTGGTTACGAAGGTTGTAAGAGCCTTCCGGTGAGAACTGTATCTCCTTACTGTCTGAGAATGATATTTTATGCAAGATTTTAAAGAAAAATGTTAGGTTAATGCTCAGTCGTCTCATCCAGAGTGGGTCGATACCTAGAGTTATACACCTTGATGTGTAGTCCTTTTCGCAGTCAAATCCTAGTAGTTTAGACGTGAAGTATCGTTGGACACTTTCTATTTTAAGTTTGTCACTTACGCGAGTGCTGCTGAGAATAAATGGACAATATTCAAGTAGTGGTCTGACACAAGTTTTATATAATAATAGTTTCGCTTCGTAGCTGTGGAAATTCCTGAGTATGCATCCTAAGAGCATCCTCGATTTACGCGTCTGTGTCGCCACTTGCTCAGAAAATGTCAAGTCACTAGAGTACCTGAGTCCTAGGTCAGCAACACTTTGGAGTTTAGGCAAGTCAAGAGATTCAAGTACCAGTTTAATATTTATTGAGGGTGCACCGAAACAGATCCAACCACATTTTTTAAGGTTGAATTTTAGGTTCCATGTGGAGGACCATGCAGTTACTCGATCTAGTTCTTCCTGAACAGCTTTCTGAAAGTACCCTAAGTCATCACAGTGGAATGTGTAAGCTACTTTAAGATCATCTGCAAAGATGAATGGTTTGCCAAGTGAGAAACAGCTGCATATGTCGTTGACATACAGAGTGAATAGGAGGGGACCTAAGACGCTACCTTGAACTACTCCAGAAGTGACTGGACTGGGCTTAGAATTTACAGACCCCAGTCTAACTACTTGGGACCTATTGTTAAGGAATGATTCAATCCACCCTAATAATGGGTTATGTATTCCTAAGGAGTTCAGCTTATTTATTGGAAGCAAATGGTCAACGCGGTCAAAGGCTTTGGATATGTCGAAGTAGATGACTATTACTAGTTGTTGTTTGTCTCGGCTGCTAGTTATATAGTTAAAGAAGTCAAGGTGACATGTCATGCATGATCTGGATTTTAGGAATCCATGTTGGTTGGGACTTAGAATATTGCAGCTGAGCATATGTTTGAGGATATCATCTTTAACTATTCTTTCAATGATTCTAGATACTATGGGTGTAATATTGATTGGCCTATAGTTGTTGACTTCAGTTTTTGATCCGGATTTGTGTTTGGGTACTATAAATGTCGTTTTCCATTTATCTGGATAGGTTTGGCTTTCTAGGGACATTGTAAAAATCTTAAGTAATAAAACGGAAATGTCAGAACCACCGTGTTTATAAAGATACGATGGTATACCGTCAAAACCAGCGCTACTAGAGCTTTTAAGAGTATTAATGGTTTGGTTAATATTAGAATAAGTGAAATGAACTGTGCTGATTTGTTTCAGCATTGAAGAAGAAGGGAGTTCTATTGTAGATTGTAAACCGAGAAGTGGACTTGTATGCTTAAGGTAGTTAGCTGCAAACGTCTCATTAAACAGTTCACACATGTCTGCATGGTTGCTGTATAGTTTGCCCTTGTTTATAAGGAGAGAAATTTTATGGCTTTGGCGATTCATTCGTTTCTTTACGATTTCTGTGAGAGCGCCTACTCTGGTGGTGTTGGCTAGTGCGGTGCATTCTTCATTTCTCATACGCAAGTTATGAGCTTGCGAGATGGAGCTAAGAGTACT